GGCGGCTCCCCTCCCTCGGGGCGCCTCGGGGCAGGCGCTGGCAGCTTAGGCCCAGGAGTTGCGCGGAAACCCTCCCGTCCTCGGCTGCGCGCTTTCTCCGCGGGATTACGGGGGGGCGTTCGGGTTTTAATGAGGGGAGAAACTTGAGGCTTCCCCCTTCTGCGCCTCCGGTCTCCCGGCAGCTCTGTGAGGAGATCGCTTTGTACTGGTTGATGAAGCTTTGCAGGGTTAAGTTGAAGTAGGTTGGTGTGTTTTATAGTGGGCAGTAGTTAACGCACCTCCTGGCTCGGAACGACTTCGTTGTCGGAAAGCCCGTAGCGATAAAACGCTTGGGGCGGGGGTGCTTTCCGCGCTGGGGGGCCGAGGCCGTGCTGCGGCGGAGACTGCGCGGGCGAGCAGCAAAGGGCACCGGGGGCTCGCTGAGGCAGGCGGCACGACAGAGCGGGATTAACTTGCGTTTGACCTTTTTGAAACGCCGATATCAAAGCTAGAACGCTGTCTAAAAGAACAGTATCCTTAGATGTCTCACGTGGGACAGATCCCTGAAAAACAACTTAACGAGGAATATTAAAGGGGTAAATGTCAGCTAGTGCTGTGAGGGTTTTTTTTCTTTTAAAAGGTAGTTCTTAAAGCCTCTACAGTGGAATTACTTGGGCGTAAACTAGTTCCATAGGTCACTTACTAGAAGAAAATACTTGCATTCTATGTGAGTGATGATATATTGATGACTGTAATTAAAATTCTACGAAGTGACTGGTGGTGGTCTTTTTTTAAGTGGCTGTTTCTTCTGTGGACAGCTTCATATGCCTTAAAGGGACCTGTCTGTCTTTTTGGAGGATTGAGGTTTTTCCTGAATTTGTCAAAAATAGGATATCTTTGAATTGTCTTTAATTAGGCATCCAAGCCTGCAGTCTTTTGTTTTTAATCTGTCCTTTGAATTTTCACAAACACTATATCGTTGTTCTTAACATCACTTTAGAGCTGTTATTACAAATTGAAGTGTCCAACACTTTAGACTCTGGTTGTTTTATACACATGTGAACTGTTTTCCAGCATGCTGGGATCCAAAAAAATTCAGTATTTCACAGGTTAGAAGTTTTAACTAATGGTTAGTATTGTAGATGGTTTAACAAAGAGCCAAATATTTATATTGCAGCACTTTGTGAAGCAGCATACTAGAATGTTAAACTTAATTAACATTACTGTTGATAAAGTAATACAAAGTTAAACGTTAATACATGATCGCTTAACTCTTTTTTTCAAAGTAGTTCTTTCAGATTTTACATCCTTCCAATGTGTGTCATGTTGCCTTGGCATACGTGGAATAGCAGTGTAATTTTTTGCTATACAGAATTAGGTGATGGTAAAGATGGTAGTTTTCCTTAGTTTTTATTAAATTTCCTTTCAAAAGATCTGAACTTACTGAGAAATGTAAGTAAAAATATTTCTTCACTAGAGTGGTTTAGCCACCTTGGGAATCTGCAGGAGTTACTCAGGCCGTTGAGTGGTGTCGGGCATCTTTTGTTACCACAGCAATATGTGAAGTAGTAAAAATGCAGTGTAGACGTTAGCATTCGTACCGAGTGTTATGGACACAGAAAGCTTAATGTAGTCTGAAGTTCATATGCAACCATATGTTTTCCCATGTAAATAACTATATTTTCATAACACTTCCATTTGCTGCTTTTTAATTAAAATCTCTTGCTATAGTTTGAAGTTGCAGGCTTTAAAAAATCCTGCGGCATTTTTAGATGCAAATTCTGTTATGATGTCTCCTCAAAGACTGGATCTTACAATCAAATGCTAACAGTTGTAACTACCTGTTTCAGCTACTCATTTTTTTTTTTCCAGTTTGCACTTTTGATTAAGTGCATTCCTGTTAGTGTTAGGCTTTTGGAACACTGAAGGCTAAGATTTCAAACAGCCTGCTACTTCTTAGGTAACAGGATTCGTATTTGTATTCATATATCATGTTTAAAATTCTTGTTGCAGAAAGGCTTGACATTACGGTATTTGAAACACTAAAGTAATTACTGCTTTGGTCATTCATCAGAAAGCCTCAAGGCTTTTTGTAAATATTAATTAAATACTGCTGTATTGTTTTCCTTTTATTAATGGGCAAAGAGAGGCATTTGTATATTTGAAAAGGTTTGCTGGTGTGTCTGATAGAAAACTCATTTGGTGGCAACAGTTTATACTGTGGTTTAAAATCAGGTATGCTGGCAAAATGATTTTTCTAGTATAATTATCTACTTCGGAACTTTCTTCAATACACTAATTCTGACAAAAGTATTTTATGTACTAATCTTCCTTTCTGCATTCATAATATAGCTATATGAGAAAGTGTTTTAAGTATAGTTCAGACTAAAGTATGAAGCAGAACTCTAAACAAAAAGAGGAAATTATAACTACATAAGTAGTTTATATACCAGGCTATTTTAATGTAACTTCTAGGTTTTGGGGTTTTTTTTTGGGGTGGTGGTGGTTTTTTTTGTTTTTGTTTTAACCTGAGGTGATAAACTGTGTATGTCTATTGGTAAAGACTTGTTTTATACTGCAAGGGTGCCTAATTGCATACGAATAAATAGCTGTGTGGCAAGAAGAAAATGCTGTAACTCTCAAAGCTTGCATCAATTAAATTAGAAAGCAAACAGATACCATTAGTAATGCACAATTGTACCAGGAATGCTTCTATTCTGTGAAGCAGGAAACTCAGAAAGGCCTAATATTGCACCCTTCTTTTTTGGCATTTCTTTACAGATAGGTACATGATTTGAGTACCTCTCCAGTATGTTGAGATTTGGGTTCAAACAGCTCAGCTTTTTGGGGGAACTTGAAACCCCCATCTCAGTTGTGTCAGTTCCCAAAGGGAATGCCTTAACTGCCAGGCCACTGGGTGTTTGGGTGTGACGTCCTTCCAGACACCAGCCAGTTTCATTCTTCAGGAGTAATGTTCACTTGGGAAGGGAGTGACTGGAGTATGTAGCCCAGGGACTGGCTGGCAAGAAGCATGATTGAGTACAAATTAATGATTTGAACCCAGGTCTCCTTGTTGCAGGCCAAGTGTTGAAAGAGTAGATGAAAGGGATTTTTTTTTTTTTTTTCCCCTAGCATGGTGTGAAATTATGGAGACTTAAACCTCTAATCTTTCTGTTTATGTTTATTCTTGGCTGACTTGGCCAATTCCTACTCATGTTGGGTATTAGACATTTGAACAACATCTGTAATGTGTCCTTTTCATTGTAGAGCAGAGCCTGGTTGCTTATCTGTGGGTTGTGGAGTCTGTAATAGGTGGCATGGTGTTTAGATTCTCTTGTGGATCTAATTCTGCTTTCTTATAAGATGCCAAATAATTAGATACAAAAATGTAATTGTTTCAATATACCTATAATTATTATCTGTTGTATAAATATCACCTCAGTGCCTTGTGTTTCCTTAAGTAATTTGCCTATTGCATCATATATCTGTTCTGGTTGGCCATAATTGTCTTCTAAAGAAAAATAATGAGTAAGAATTAATGTTATTTTATGTTAACATTTTTAATACTTGATTTTGCCTGTAGTCTTTCTTTTTTTAAATTTCTTCCCTAAGATTAGAGAAAAGGCTTGACAGTTGATACATGTGATGGTGCAGTTCATGGTTGTTAATCATAAACTTGAGTACCTGAATTCGCTATACTTTATCAGCATAGAAAATAAACTCCTCATCTGCAAAGTTCTAACAAAAGAATAGATGATATAATAGATGGAAATTCTGGAAGAAGATAGTTCTTAAGAAAAATAAGGTAGAGCCAAACCATAAGTTTCATTCTTGTCTTGCATCAGGGTTCATCTTCTGGGCAAACAGTTGGAAGGTTGTACTTGGTTATTTGGCTATAACAGATGATTCAGAAGACTCTGAAATGTTTTTGGTTTTTTTGGGGAGTCGGCGGGGGGGGAAGTAGTTTAGAATCAGGAACGATTTCTGGTAAGGGTATATTAAAAGGGATAGGACAGTTAAGTGGCCCTTTACAAAAGGTATTAGGAGTACTCAAGTGTGGTAATAGTATGTTAGCATCTAAAGCACATACCTGTGTATGTGCATCAACCGTTGTATGAATAGTCAGTGTGAACTATCTTACTTTCATTGTGTGAAGTTGTTGAATGGTGTCTTCAAGCTCTCTAGAAAGTTAAATTCAGCAAAATTAAAAACCTTTGATAACCGGGAGGTGCCAGTGCAACCTCAGCAGCTGCTCTTTGACCTGGCAATGGCGCTGGGAGGTGGCTGTATGCATTCCGAGTCTGTTTCCAAGGGTAAGTGTATATTTTTAAAGTCGGGAAGGAGATGCTGGAAAAGAAGTATTCATTAGGTACCAGCAGTGTTGAGTGGCGTTCTGAGTACAAATGTATGTGATCAAAGGAGGACAATGTATACCAGTGCCTAAAAGAGTCACTTCTCATTTCAACAGTGTATTATAAAGATTGCCAGCGATATGTGTGAGCTGTTGTTAGCAGTGTGATGGTATAGGAGTGACTTACATTTAATGAGGTGTGTATGAAAGAGTAATGAAACTTAAAAAGTTCACTTTGTTCAAGGCTGAAGGCAGGTAAAATATAACTGGTATGATGCCTTGGTAAAAACATGATTGAGAGAAATTACTTCACTTTTGATGTTTCCCATCCCCTGTCCATTTCCCTGGAGCCAAATCTTGATCTTGGTTTGAGTGGCAGAGAGATCAGCAGAATCAGCTCTCATCTGAGTATTCAAATGTAAACCCAAGTGTTCTTTTAACTGAGATGATCTTCACAATTCAGGTCAATGAAGGTAATATGCTTCGGTGACACCTTCTCTATTAATCACTTATTTAGAAGCTGGTCTTCACTGTGGCAGTGGAGAAATCTAGGGAGGGAAGCATGTTTTTCTGCATCATGGTTGTGGTACTGAGTTAAATTCTTCAGCACAGCAGATGTCATGACAACTTTTTCTTTTTTATGCACCTCTGTGCATGAAGCTAAGGCTTGACCTTAATATTGGATTATGCAGTGTTCCTCCAGTGTCGTGGTTGAGAACTTGTGGTCACCCTTGTTTGTCTTGTTTTATCAAATTGCCATTGACTTGTCAGCTACTGTTAATGAAACTTGAGGTAGATTCATCATGGATTAATGCAGTGCACCTTGACTCGGAAAATGAAAGTTTTCTTTGTAGAAAAACTGTGTTACAGATAGCTGCATTGTGCACCATAGAAATTAACTGCATGTCTTGTATTGGCTAAGAGAACGTGTTGCTAATTCCTCTGGTATGTCCTAATGTTCTCTCATCTCTGAAGGCAAAGCTCATCCTTTCGGGTTAAGCATCCAGAGATTTCAACAGATAAGGGTTTGGATTGTATTGGTTTGTATTATATTGATTGTGCTTTTTACGTATGTACATCCTTGTTTTCAGAGAGCAAATGCCTTCTTCCTGGTGTTTGAA